CTTCTTGCACGATTTCAATGGCTTCTTTTAAAAATTTTGTATAATCAATCATAGTTTCCCATTCTAAACTTTACATGCATAAGTGTAAATATTGACTGTATATATCTACAAAGAAGCTCCTTAGAAATTTGGTTTTTGAATTATAAAAGATGTACTTTAACTTTAAAACTATGAAGATAACCAAACAAGGTTTATGTGACTAAAATTTTCATTTAGTTGACATACTAATTAATCCATGCTTAGACTTAGTTCTCACTCAAAACCAACACTTATGATAGAGAGTGCTATATAGCTAAGTCTATCTATTTTGAAATGCGAGTTTACTTTATGGAAAGTGGACGTGCCGGAGTGGTTATCGGGCATGACTAGAAATCATGTGGGCTTTGCCCGCGCAGGTTCGAATCCTGCCGTTCACGCTTTTAATTATCGTGTTTTTAGATTTTTAACTTGTTTTTTTTACGTATCTCTTAATTTCCACGGTTGTGCATCATGTAAACTTTTTGTAATGCTTAGTACGGATTTTAATAATGTCACACAAAAAGACAACATCAAAGTTTCTAAGGCGCCTTTTTTGTACTTCTCTTTTACATACTTTCAAAATCGATTCAAAGTACTATTTTGAATCGTCTGGATCCGAATCTTCTAGATGTATAAAATGTTATTATACAAAACCGACCTTAGCTCAGTTGGTAGAGCGGAGGACTGTAGTAGACGCAGATTATCCTTAGGTCACTGGTTCGAATCCGGTAGGTCGGATCTTATAGTATATAAGTTTTTTCTTTTCGTTTTGAATTTCTATTCTATTGTCAAGAAATATAAGTACTAAATTGTTATCATTTGGAAATACGAATACTAAAAAATGCATATTTGGAGAGTATACTGTTGGAATGAGATAAAATGTCAGAGGTATTTTTCCTATACTTTAGACCGTTGATGTATCAATCATCACCATTGTATATTTACAATCTTTATGCAAGAAATTAGGTGCGTCTCGTATATTTTTTCTTTATTATAGCTTAATTTCTTTCCTAGGTTTTAATATTGAATTACTCTTTGTATTCTCATTTCGTGTAAATTATTGTATTCAAAAGATAAGAACACATGCATAAAGTATAATACAATCCGACCTTAGCTCAGTTGGTAGAGCGGAGGACTGTAGTTGAAGCAGAATATCCTTAGGTGACTGGTTCGAATCCGGTAGGTCGGAAGTGACTCCAACATATGAGATGTTATTTGCGTTGTGACATCTATATTTTTGAATCTTGGATATAACATGCACACATTATGAAGACAAATTTACTTGGAATAAAACATTTGGTTGAATTTTTGTACACTAATTGTATGTGTAGATTTTTCAAGTATTGATGAAATCATAAAAAATAATTTTCATATATACTAGAAACATATAACCATGAACTTTCCTAGTTTCTTTGATCAAACAACCAAATAATTGTAAGGATTTTGAAACATAAAATACAAATTTGTATGCATAATTATATTTAAACAGATGTGGTAGTGCCTAATAATTGTCAACCTTTATACAAGGCTACAAGCATAGTGAAAAAAATCCTTGCCACCTTCTTGCACGATTTCAATGGCTTCTTTTAAAAATATATATAAACAATCATAGTTGCCCACTCTCAACTTCACATGCATAAATGTAAATATTGACTGTATATATCAACAAAGAAGCTCCTTAGAAATTTTGTTTTTGAATTATAAAAGATGTACTTTAACTTTAAAAATATGAAGATAACCAAACAAGGTATATGTGACTAAAATTTTCATTTAATTGACATACTAATTAATCCATGCTTGGACTTATTTCTCACTCAAAACCAACACTTATGATAGAGAGTGCTATATAGCTAAGTCTATCTATTTTGAAATGCGAGTTTACTTTACGGAAAGTGGACGTGCCGGAGTGGTTATCGGGCATGACTAGAAATCATGTGGGCTTTGCCCGCGCAGGTTCGAATCCTGCCGTTCACGTTTTTATATATCGTGTTTTTAGATTTTTAACTTGTTTTTTTTTACGTATCTCTTAATTTCCACGGTTGTGCATCATGTAAACTTTTTGTAATGCTTAGTACGGATTTTAATAATGTTACACAAAAAGACGACATCATAGTTTCAAAGTCAGCTTTCTTTGTACTTCTCTTCTACATACTTTTAAAATCGATTCAATGTACTACGTTGAATCGTCTGGATCCGAATCTTCTAGATGTATAAATTGTTATTATACAAAACCGACCTTAGCTCAGTTGGTAGAGCGGAGGACTGTAGTAGACGCAGATTATCCTTAGGTCACTGGTTCGAATCCGGTAGGTCGGATCTTATTGTATAAAAGGTTTTTCTTTTCGTTTTGAATTTCTTTTCTATTGTCAAGAAATATAATTACTAAATAGTTATCATTTGAAAATACGAATACTAAAAAGTGCATACTAGGAGAGTATACTGTTGGAATGAGATAAAATGTCAGAGGTATTTTTCCTATACTTTAGACCGCTGATGTATCAACCATCACCATCGTATATTTACAATCCTTATGCAAGAAATTAGCTGTTCTTCTCGTATATTTTTTCTTTATTATAACTTAATTTATTTCCTAGGTTTTAATATTGAATTACTCTTTGTATTTACATTTCGTGTAAATCATTGTATTCAAAGGAATAAGAACACATGCATAAAGTATAATACAATCCGACCTTAGCTCAGTTGGTAGAGCGGAGGACTGTAGTTGAAGCAGAATATCCTTAGGTCACTGGTTCGAATCCGGTAGGTCGGAAGTGACTCTACATATGAGATGTTATTTGCGTTGGGACATCTATATTTTTGAATCTTGGATATAACATGCACACACTATGAAGACAATTTTACTTGGAATAAAACATTTGGTTGAATTTGTGTACATTAATTGTATGTGTATATTTTTCAAGTATTGACGAAATCATAAGAAATAATTTTCATATATACAGTACTAGAAAAAATTTGACCATGAACTTTTTTAGTTTCTTTGATTAAACAATTTTTAAGAGATAACTTGCAAATTTATATTAATAATTATATTTAAATGCATGTGGTTTCATACAAGCATAGTATAAACCCTTACCAACATAGCCCACTCTCAATATTACATGCATAAATACAATTAGATACTACAGATTTAAACAAAGGAGCTCTTCAGATTTTATTTTATTTTTTAATTAAGAAAAACAAATTATGCTTATTTTTAAAATACGGAGATGGCCAAACTAGGTTTATGTTTTTAATCTTTTTCATTTAGTTGATAAGCATGCTTAGACTCATCTATTGTATACATGTTGAAATTATAGTGTGAATAATATGGATTTAGGGAATAAACATGCTTAATCTTTTTATCGTTCTAGTAATTAAGTTTCTAGATTGATTATTATAGTGTTGTGATTAAACTGTTAATTTCAACATGTAAATTTAGCTTTGATATAAAAATGCAACGTGAAAGTAATTAACTAACTCAGCTTCCTTTGTATATCTCGTGTACAACGTCCTATTTTGAATGATAACTACAAAATCGTCATCAAATGAGAGAACTCGAGAAGAGAAATGTCTATCTTGAGTTTTTTTTTTTTTCTTTTTTTTTTTTTTTTTCTTAAAATATATATATTAATTCGAATAAACCCAAATGGGCTGGGCCGCCTTACACGCGAGATCCAACAAGCAAAGGAAAAACAAAAGCCCACGAACCAAAAGAAAGAATCGGATCCTGCTGATCGCCGGAGGCAAAGGTGATCGGAGCCGGAAATCCGGCGGTCTCAAGGTCCACGGCTTTGCGGCTTCGACGGAGGTTTGGAGGCCAAAACCAAAAGAGACCGGTTTTCGGTGATGGCCCCTTCTTCTCCGTCGCGCCAAACCCGCTACAAACCTCCCGGAAAGCTAATCACCCTGACAACACGGTTCCGCGGTGGCGAGTCCCGACCTAGCAACTCGCCACACTCAGATCTATCCTCTCTCCTTCGAATCCGGGGCTCGCCGTAGATCCGAGTAGCTTCTCCTCGAGCTGGACGGGAGGATGCCGAGAGACGGCGGAAATAGGAAGCGGCGGCTCAACACAAACCTCCTAACCCGTAACTCCGCCACGGCCATCTAAGATCCAAGATCTACCGTTAACCTCCACATCAAACGACGGAACCCTCCTAGCCTCCACCGACTTCCGCCGTAGCCACAGCCTCTAGATCTAACGGCTGAGCCTTGAAGATCCATGAAGCTCCCCGCCGTCTTCAAAACGGGTACCACAGCCGCATAGAAACTTCACCGCAGAAACCAGAGCCACAACCACATCGAAGGAGACTTCCCACCACCGTCGACAGAGAGGAAAAGCTACTCACCCGTGAATCAACAGTGATTGACGGAGCCCTAAATGAAGCACCGATCGAGAAAAAGAAAAAAGAAAAGAAACGGAGCTTCGCCGGAAATCGCCTTCAAGAGAGAGAGAAGCTCTGTTTTCGAGGCAACGATTGTGCTTTTTTCTGTCTATCTTGAGTTTGTTATCGGGAATAAGAAGAAATATCAGAGGTTATTTTCACTATACTTCATACCTTTTAGTATTTGAACCATGACTTTACAATGAGATTGACTAGGCAGACTACAAAACTACAAGATCCACATGTGGTTTTTGCAAGAAACAACTGTTTCTTAAAGCTCGACTGACGCTAGTCGATAAAGATCTTTGGCCTCCATAGCTTGCAGAATTCACTTGGTTCGGTTATATTCTCGGTGGCATTGAACTAGCACAAGCTACTGATCATCTATATCACTTAATGTCAGGTTATAACTAAGATCGAGGAATGGTAGCTATAGATCAAACACATTCCTACTCATCTTCAACTGGCAGGCGTCTCGACGAAGTCACCGTTCAATATTCTTTTTGCGAGCTTTGCTATAAGCTAGGCATGGGTCTTCCAGCCATGACTAGTTTGATGTGAAAGTTAAACCAAACCGTCCAAAAAAAAACAAAAGTCTTCCTTTTAACAGCAAAAGCTTTATAAAGTTTAAGAGAATGTCCAATTATGCTACAGTGATCAAACACACGAAAATGAAGGAACATTTGATACTCTCAAGTCTCAACACTATCAACTTAGAGGTAATATGAAAACTAGACACTAATTCTTAATGGAAACAAAGAGTGGCACAATTTGGTTTTATTAATAATGTGTTACCTAACTGATGTACAAAAGATGAGGTCCATACACACCATAGATAAAGCAAGACACTGATGGTTTAAGGCAGTGAAGCTTGAGGGGTTTTGATGTGATCATAAGCAGCAATGTTTTGTGGTTCACATTCAGGGCTGAAGAGACGAACAAGCATTGCAGTTGATGAGCTCACGGACAGAGCACCGCAACCCGCCCACCGCAGACTCCTTGGTACTGTGATCCTAGGACCTACACATTTTTCCCAGAGACAACATCAATGAATGGAACAAGACAACATTTGCTTTGATAACAATTCTATCTAAATTTATCTTAAATCCACGAAAACAAACCATCCCCGAGACTCAAAGCCATGGCAAATAGGTACAATGCACATGTCATTTGCTTTCCGAAATCCCGAAATATCTAAAGGTTCAATCTTTCACCACACCAATCTACTTACTCAATGAAAACTTCTATTAGCTTCAATTTTTGCATGGATTTCAGATACTCCAGGGCAATAAAACAAAAGGGCAATACACATTGGTATTCTAACAATCAATATTGCAGAACACTAGATTCAATAGCCCTAAGGAGAAACACGTGTTGATTGCATAATCTTTTATCTAACCATTCTATAAAAGCTTTGCAGATGTTTTCAAAACCAAGAAACCAAGAAAGGAGAGAAATTTGTATACCATAGTGAAGTCTACAGAGAACCCAGAAACCAAGAGCTCCACCAACAGTGAAAATGGCAGCTGTTTGTCTCATCAGTCTTGAACATGGCTTAGCATCTGATCTCATTAGATCTCCCTCTGACCATCCTAACTTCTGCCTTAACGCCATTTCTCTCTACAATCAACAACAAAACTCTCTTAATTCTAAGAAGAACAAAAAAAAATGCGGTTTTTGTGATAGCAATGTTCACTGAAGCATTTCATCGAACAGGTTAAGGGCAACGTCAAAAATTAGATATAGAGACAATAATTCTCTAAATTTTAGATCCAAGCAAGTCAACAGAAGACAAGAATTGGATAAACTTTTGTATATAAATACCAGAATCAGGGGAAACTTTGTATTCCCGGTGAAGCTCTGTAGCTGTGTCGCCGTGAAGCCTGAGGGAAGAAGATGAAGAGATCAGAGAAAAGTTGAAACTAACCAGTGTGACTTCGTGTCTAATTGGGCCGATTTAGGAAGCCCAATAAATGTAAAGAAAACTGAATGGGCCGGGATTAATAATGGTCGGATCCACGTGACAAACGTGATTGGGAAGAAACCCATTGGATCTGTACTTGATTTTTTTTTTTTGTTTTCATAAACTAAACAAAAACAAAATCGTTTTGTAGTTTTAAATAAATATCCTTCCAATTGCTAATTTTTGCCACTTTATTTTCTAAGACAGAATATTAAAGTTAATCATACAATGTCAAAAAAAAATACACAATACAACAACTTTCTTTGCTATTGGCGAGTTTGTAAAATTTTGATAAATAACATATTTAATCAAAACTTTCACAATGAAATATTCAAATGTATCTTTAGAACTTTTGAATATGAACATATTATAGTATCAAGATAATATAACATATTATTTTCAATTTAATACGACTGATTCTATTTTAGATTATTGGTATAGTGGCAAAAGTTGACGATTTGCAAGATTTACTTCCACAAAACCCCTTTAAAATATATGATAATTTAGTTAAACATAGTTCAATTACTTATGAAAATGTATAAAAATAAATTTCCTAGATGTTTACTAAATCTATGTCATAAAATGATTGTTCTTTCTTTGTCATCACCGGATGACTCACGTAAAAAAACACCAATGGGTCATTTTCACTACTGAGTATTCTCTAGACGAAGAAAAATATCTTCACCATAATAAATGAGAAACAATCTATGAGAGAACAAAAAAAATAAAAAATCAGTAACTAATTAAAGATTTGCTCCTCCTCATTGTTCATAGAGAGTTCATCTTCAGGCTAGTGAGTACTGAGGTTTGGTTTCCTATGACTCTATCCAAAATCTCATTCAGTTTTGGTCTCTCTGTTATACCACATGTCTTGATTCAGTTCTGTTTGGTTTCTTGATTCATTAACTCAATTAGTAAAACCCAGAACAGAGAAACTAGTTAATAATTGTTTTAAGTCATTCAAAATCATTTCATACTTTGTTCCACTGGTTGATGTCATGACAGGAATCAGGATAAAGATGGTTTCATGTGAAACACGAAGCAAACTTATGCATAAAGCCATTTGTGTATGTCTCTTAGCAATCTTGCTTCATCCCACAACCTCAAGTGATCTGTTTCGTGTTGGTCTGAAGAAGAGACGGCTCGAGCTCGATGATATAAGAGTCAGCAGAGTGATCAGAAAGCTGAAATATTCACAGCAGCATCCCACAACTTACCAGTCTTTAGGTGACCAAGATCAGGTGATTCTTAAAAACTACTTGGACGCTCAATACTACGGAGTTATTGGAATCGGAACGCCTTCGCAAGAATTCGAAGTTATTTTCGATACTGGAAGTTCTAATCTCTGGGTTCCATCTTCAAAATGCTACTTCTCTGTGAGTTCTTGAACTTTTTGTTTAGAACAGTTTCTTGTTTGGGGTATGTTGTCTCGTCTTTACTATCTTGTATATGTTTTTATTCTTCAGCTGGCTTGTTATCTCCATCCCAAATACAAGTCTACCAAATCCAAAACATACACCAAGAATGGTATGTATTCTAAATTGAAACTTTTTTAAAAGTCTATTAGAACCATATAGCAATCTTGTTATCTTTAAAATTATATTGTGAGTAACAGGAAAGCCGTGTACAATAACTTATGGGTCGGGGTCGATCTCTGGCTTCTTTAGTGAAGACAATGTGAAAGTTGGTGATCTTGTTGTGAAGAATCAGGTCTAGATCTGTCTCTCCCCTCTTAAACCCGTTTGGTTTCCATTTACATTACACTAAAGTCTTCTTTACAAAATTAGGAGTTTATCGAAGCTACACGCGAAGGGAGTCTCTCTTTTGTCCTAGCGAAGTTCGATGGTCTCCTCGGGTTAGGATTTCAGGAGATTTCAGTCGGAAATGCGGTTCCAGTTTGGTACAACATGGTTGATCAAGGACTAGTGAGTGAAAAGGTTTTCTCATTCTGGCTTAACCGTGATACGGAAGCTGATGTTGGTGGTGAGATTGTGTTTGGCGGTGTTGATCCAGCCCACTTCAAAGGCAACCACACCTATGTCCCTGTCACTAGAAAAGGCTATTGGCAGGTGAGAAGACATTACTTAATTGGTCTATATCTCGTTTCTGATGATTTAAACATAATGTATAAGACTATAGGTTTCCAACTTAAAATGATTTGGTAATTACTAAGACATGCCCATGTCTTATATATATTAGTGTTGGTCTCATCACACTTTTGATGTGGGATCCTAACATAATACTTTTTTTCCATGTTCTTCAGTTTAACATGGGCGATATCTATCTCGATAACAACTCAACTGGTAAATCTAGCTCATCAGCTAAACTATATATGATGAATGTTTTAGTCATGCTCGGGTCATGAAATCGTAAAGTATTTTTGTGTAGGTTTTTGTGAGCAAGGTTGTGCTGCAATTATGGACTCAGGAACTTCACTACTTGCTGGACCAACTGTAAGAAACATTGCTTTTATATATTTTAGTGTCATTAAACTCAAAATCATATTTTTAACATATCATTATTTCAGACCGTGATCGCGCAAATTAACCACGCAATTGGCGCTGAGGGCGTTGTAAGCGCGGAGTGTAAGGAAGTTGTTTCTCAATATGGAGAAATGATATGGGATTTGTTAGTATCTAAGGTAAAATGTTATTGATAGTTTTGTGCATTACACTTCATCAGTATAGTATTCTAAAAAATCAGAAACATTATGATGTTCACTTGTAGGTTCTGCCTCGTCAAGTATGTAAAGAGCTCGGTCTCTGCGTTTTCGGACAAGAGTATGTGAGCAAGCTTATAAGAAGAACAAACTACACGTTGTGGTATTAAATGGATCTTGATGTGTGCAGGAATGGAATAAAAACAGTGGTGGAGAAAGAAAGATCATCAGTTCTATGTGAAGTTTGTGAGATGGCTGTTATTTGGGCTCAAACAAAACTGAAGCTGAATGAAACCAAAGAGAAAGCGTTTGAATACGTGAACCAGCTTTGTGAAAGCCTTCCCAGTCCCGCAGGCGAGTCAATGATCGATTGCAATAACATCGAAAATATGCCAAATGTTACATTCACAATTGGAGGCAAACCCTTCTCCCTCACACCTCAACAGGTTAACAAAAGACTTAACACCTTAAAAATGTGCTAACAAGTGTTTATATATTAATAGTCTTTAATTATGCTGTTCTTGAATGTTTTAGTACATACTCAAAACTGGAGTAGGCTATACCGAGACGTGCATTAGCGGGTTTTCGGCTTTTGATTTGCCTCCACCAACTGGTCCTCTCTGGTAAGCTGGGATGATTTTTATAGACTTCATTTCCATTTTCAGGTTTAAGTAGTGTTTTAAGATCAAGACTCTCTCCATATATACAGGATTCTTGGGGATGTCTTCATGGGAGCTTACCACACCGTATTCGATTCAGGAAATCTTCAAATCGGAATCGCAGAAGCTACATAAACTTATGTACATCAGTTTATTTACCTATGGTTATCCGCATAAGTACATTGTGTATATTAATGACTCCATGTAATAAATCTTTATCAGAACCTTCAAGATATATATTATAGTTCCTAACTGTGAGGTGTTGCCCAAGTGTCTAAGAAACTCTTACCCAAGAAGAAGGTTTCAGCAAAAGAAACAAAGACGGTCACGAGGAGCTCACGTGACATCTATACAATTCAGCAAAGGGACAAAGGAGTAATTAACCTATGTCTGAACTCAATCTTTTTTGTCTCCTTCCTCTGTACGGAACAGAGCATGCGAGAAAGAAAGAAGAGAGAGAGACAGGTTGTCTTGTATAAAAGGAGAGTAAGCTGAGGTCTTTTAGGGTTAAGACTAAAAAGAGAGCAATAACAAGAGACGGCTAAGTTTATAGCTGGTCTGTAGGGTTTTTGTAACCAAGAACAGAGCTTTCTAGTGGATTTCCGAGTAAATCTCGGCGAGACGTAGCGTTTCCGGTTTGGAACGTGAACTCGTTAAACTTGCTGTGTCTTTTACTTTCAGTTCTGTTTTTCCAAAGCTTAACACACGAGAGAAAAACATTCCGCGAGTAAAAGTGAGTTTAGAGACAAAAGTTCAAGTATTTCTTACAAAAGCTTCAAGAAACTTTCAAAGATTCTTAACACTAACATTATAATGATTTCATCACTATTAAGTATTAAGCTGTAAATTGATACAAATCCAAAAAAAAAAAACAGGATCGATCATAAAAAACTAACAATGGTATTGTCCGTTCATGCTCCACAAAATGATTGTACAAACTAGAATCATAATAATTTTGGGGAAAAAATGCTAGAATTTACAAATCTAACATAGCAAAAAGTTTGCTAGATAACAAGAGAGATCAAAAATTACAAACTGAATTCATAAACACAACAAAAACAAAAACTGAAAAGCAACATTGTTGGAAAAAACAAAACAACAACTTATAAAAGAAAAAGAAAAAAAAACAGATTATTGTGTTTTGGGTTGTTTTGTTTCCTACTTGGTGAGAACGAAGATAGCATAGACCAGTCCAGGGATAAAACCCAAGAACGTTAGAAGCAAAGAGAGCCAAAACTCCATCTACAAAACATATTTACAACAAAATAAGAGTTTTGATATTTACTTTTAACCATTAGTGGTAAAATGTTACATGCATAGAAATAATTTATAATTTATGAATTGAAAAATAGAAAATTACCCCACAGCCAAATCTGAGGAATACACCAACAGGAGGTAACATGATCGCTAAAAGAATTTCAATGAAGCTACTCATTCTTCTTCTGTAAATTTTTTTGTTTTTTGTTTTTTGGTTTTTTTGTTTTTTTTTTTGAGTTTTAAACTTTTTGTATAGATCTTATTTTGTTGTTGTTAATAAACAAGAACATAAGATTTAGTGGTTTCTAAATAAGGGAAGAAACTGAGTCTGATCATTGTGTAACGTACGTACGTCCACTATTTGTTCCTAAGATGAAGGAGCTCTACTTCAACCAACACCAACAACAAAACCTTTGCTCGGCCTCTATTGACGCAACCACCCATTTGGTCGTCGGTTCAAAAAAAAAATAAAAAAAAAATGGGATGAGCAAAATAATAGAATTGAATAGATTAACTTGTTTATTCCTACCAAAAAAAAAAACATGTTTTAATCATGATTTTTTTTAAAAAAAGAAGAGAAAATACATGAAATAATACATCAAGGTTTGCATAAAAATACACAGTTTTTTCTAATGTAGAAAACTTTGAACTATTTTTATTTTATTTTATCTATTTTCAATAAACAACAATATTTGCGGTGTTCAATACAATTTTATATTTCATTAGTCTCTAAATTGAGTGAAGAACATTAATCTTTATGCTCAAAATTTATTCCTCTTAAATTACAAATAAAATAATAACAATCCTCAAACAATAAAAAATATCTTTAAGTTGGTAACCTTAATTTTCACAAGATCAAGAAAAAGGAGAAAGATAGATTAATGAAATCTGGTTAACATATAAGTTCGGTATATATAGAATCGTAAATTGAGTTTTTGGTACCGAATATTGTGTGGCATATTGTGTAGGGGTTTCTTACAAAATAATTCTCCATAAACAAACAAATTTATCCTTAACTTCTTAAAAAATGCAAGTTTTTGTGTCTTTGAATATATTTTAAAAATTCTATAAGTAAATTTAAAATCATCGTCGCGACTGTTTCATTATGTATCATAGTTTTTTAAAAAAACTTGAAATTGGTGACCAAATTTTAGAATGTCGGTTCAATTCGACTATTTATGTTCCATTTGTATATTTTGAAACATAAGGGTAAATACTTGAAAGAAAAATGGCTACTTTTTGCTAAATTTTACCAAGGAAAGAAACAGAGATTCGTAAGCCATCAGATCCATGAAGCACATGAAGACGCGACAGGTGAGAGGACAGATCAGTCGTCAAACACGCTCTCCTGAACTGTTCTACACTAGCCAAAAAAAATCCACTCAACACGATTTGCAGTCTTAAAACGTTGTATGCTAAATCTGTGAAAATGCGAGATGGCCAAAAGCCAATAATTTTTTCTTTATCTCCTATGTTTAACCACCAATTTCCATTTCGTGGATCCTTCAAAAAAAAAAAAAAAAAGGGTTTAAAGATAGATATATAATATCATACTAATATAAGAACAATATTGCATGGTTCATGTATGCAAAGTTAGGAACTATTTTTATGATTTAACTTACTCGGAAAATGTAAATCTAGCTTCGACCATATGAACTCCGGTGAGTGAAACTTCGGGAAATGCATAATCAAGTGGAATATCAGAATTCACTATCACAAAACTGGGACAGTTCGTGTTGAAACAGTTCATAAACTGAAATGACCATCTCCTCCTCCAATGTTCTTTTTCATTCCGGTCGCCTTGTGTGTGGGATTTGAGACTTGACAGTACTTAACATGTTACATGTTATATAGTACTACTATATGCACTTTGAGGTTAAGAGCTATATGTGGTCCGATGACACTTAACATTTTTTTTTATTAGTCGAAAAGCATTCCAAACTCGAAATGACACTTAACATGTTAGAATACTATGCACGTAAGCTTTAAATTCGTGTTTAGTTTTAGTCATGATGATGGCATCATAACATCACACAATTTCATACTCAGAACAATGAAGTAATTAACTTCTGTGAACCGTCGAAGTCCAACTATGAAGTCAAAATCGTGAAAACTTACAACATATATATGAATGTGAACAGGATTTGTGTATAATATTGACATCAGAAATTTTGCCATAAGAGCTTTATGTGGTCGTTTATGTTCACTCGTGACTTCAATACTTCATGAATATGCCAATATATACAATCACCGAAGACCTACGTTCCCACTATATATCTATATATATAAAGTTAGCTTTTTCTCTCTTCTCATGATGCCACCTAAGCATCCACCTAAGCCACATTTTTGTTTAAACATTAAAATAAATTTAAAACATTCATTTAGTGCATATTTATGTTACTTATTTAATTAATAAAAAGTTTATATAAAAATAAATTATGTAAAAAAATATAATGTTAAAATAAGAAAAACAATACTTTAATTTTTTTATTAGTGGTAATAATATAATTCAACTTTTATTTTAAATTGATCATAATTTAATATTTTAAATATGTTACTGAGTTTTAGAATAGAAGTAAAATTTAAATTTATGGTAGACTAAAACAACATTTATGTAATTGTATATATAAAATTATAAAGAAGAAAAATAAAATGAAAGTGAAATATTAGTTTATAACATGATCAAAAAGAAAAAAAATGATATTTTATAAATTGAATCAAATGCTTTTAATCCAAATTTGAGAGACGTGAGAGTGAGTGAATAAGTAAATAAGAAATTTAAATCCCATTATGAATTTAGAAATAACAACAACAACAACAACAACAAAGACGTAATGTGTTTTTTTTGGCTTCATATGTAGCTTTGCTTGCGAAAAAAGTATCTTATTTTAGGTTACAATTTTTTTTTTCTTTTCTTAGCGCACACGTAAGTAAAACCTTAACAGTAACAAGAGTGTTCAGTTTCTTTTTATTGATCAGAGCCTATGCGGACTTGATCCTCGAGCTAGACGGCAGCGCAGCTCTTCCGAAGTGTATACTCTTTGAGGTGATCAAATGTCTACGGTGATTTAAAGCTGGATCATCCACAATTCTATTTCGATCTCTGACATTACCTTCATCATTTAGAAGGTGATCTTGAGCATCTGGTGCATTGGCTTGACCTTCGTTTATTGCAGGTGGCTCATGGACTTGATTATCAGTTGTCAGACTAGTCGGAGTTCTGGTCACATCATTACTTGGCGGACTAGTTGTTGTAGTTCTCATGTCACCATCATCTCTTGGCGGACTAGTTGCAGCGTTGATCTCGCCGCCATGTTGTCTTTGTTGGTATCTTCTAGAAACCAACATGCCAAAGAATAAAAGCATAGAAACAACAAGAACGATCAGAAATAGAGCTTCGAAGCTGTTGTAATCGAGCTGGATTGGAGAATCCGATGTGGTTGAGTCCAGACAATGTTTTTCTCCAAGCAACCACTTGTTCTCTATAGCTTTCATGGTCTCTCCCTCCGTTAAGTTCAAGATCTGTCTTGAAATGTCTGACACCAACGGGGATCCCAAAGGAAAGGCCTACAACAAAAAAGTGTATATGGGGATTCAAAAACACTTCAAAAATCCTAGTTAAGAACAAACAAATGAATTGAACCTTCGTCACTATTAGACTTTCAAAGTCCCACATTGCTTGGGATAAAGATCTTTGGGCAATATATATAGGATGTGGCAATCCTTCTCTCTTGAGCTAGCTTTTGGGATTAGTTAGGCCACATTACTAATAGTCACCATTCAAATCGTAAATAAAAAAGTAACAAGATTTACTTACAAAACCAAAGCCATCAGCCTTAAAGGTAGGCTCGATAATGGAATACTCTGAGCAATATTTAGCCATGAAAAGCTTGACATAAGGAACTTCGTCGAATGCAGCATCAATACCACCATTGCTGCTACTTTTAAGAAACAGTTCACGCATTTCTTCAGGAGAATTATACATCTTCAACCTCGATTCATCGAAACGCATTTGTTTCAGCCTTTCAAATGTAAACGAACCTTTTTGATATCCAATGTTAACTCCGCTCTTCCTCAGATCATCCATGTGTCTCACTGTTGGTCGAAGTTCTTGAACCGTAAGCATTGATGTCAATGTTGCTGTGTAAAGCTGAGTCAGAATAAGCACCACAAAACACCACACCACCACAAGAACCCTAGTGAAACCGCTCTCTGATGGCGTCCCTATAAGCAAAATGTGATCATATCAGATTCTTTCTTCAAATATTTCAAGTGGTATACTTCAATATATTTACTAAGATATGTTTCTATCCACATTAGGCAACTTTTATGTGTATACATCAATAGTTGTAATGATTAGAAGCTGAAATGGTGTGTGTTCGAAATTTTTTTTAAAAAAACTCACTGTGTGAGAAAAAGAGAGTTGAAAAAGAGAAGTAGAACACATTAGATATTTGATCAAGTATCCCCTGTCCCCTGAAACCATCACTTGCTTGGTACTCAAAAATCCAAACCATGATTGCTATGTAGAGAAAAGCAGCACCAGTGAGAAACCACAGCTCCTTGGTTAAAGGCTTTAAGAAAACCCATTTTCCTTTCTCTCTCTCATCCTTGACTGGCACCAAGACTACAATACCCGTCTCCGAGTATGGCAATGCGAAATCGACGTATGCAGACCGATTAGCTAAGATTGTGGTATCCCCTACTGCTCCATCAAACTCCTGTTATAAATAAGATTAAAAAACAAAAACAAAAAACATTTTAGTCTCATACAGCGTTGTCATGATATTTCTATTAGGGATTTTGATCGAAAATAGAAAGAAAACGAAAAAGAAACCAAAGAATTGGTTTCCTCATAATTTAGGGATCAATGTAACTTACCCCAAGAAACACACTATAAATCATTTCGTCGTAACTTCCACGTGATTTTCCATCAGGGCTTTCAAACGGGATGTACTCATAGGGGACAGCATATGGCATTTGTCTCATTACGGTGTCGAAAACATCTATGCAAAAGCCGGTGATTGTTAGAGCATTAGTGTTTGCATCTTTTGTTACCTCCACAAAATTGTTGAAACCATCCTTCTTTGGAACTGCTATTTTCAGCTTCTTTGCATTTGTTGGCAATTCCCAGCCTTTGGGTACAAAAGTTGTGTCCCCAGGCCATATTATCGGTCTAAGGCGGTGCAAGCTGTGTGATATTTTGATGCCTGTTTGATTCACTCTTAGGTTCTTCACTAATCCTACTTTTGATCTCCAAAATCCAACTGTTCTTTCCACGCTTTCCTCTATATTGATTATCTTGAAAGTCTTGGCCTCTAGCTTTCCATTTTTTAGCTGAAATCTCCCGGCAACACCTTTGAAACTTACTGTAGTCAATGCTTGAAGAAGTCTGGGACCAGAGAGAGCGAAGCTGAGATCATCAAGATCAGTCCCATCGATTGAAGTGTTTCTTTTGGCCTTACTGAAACTCATGTTTACGTTACTACTTATTTCCTCAAATGACATTGCGAGTGCTGTTGCCGCATCGTAAGCCCAACATTCAAAGTTGTTTAGTTCTTCTCCTCCGAATCTTTTTCGCCAACGAGCTTCAAAATACTTTAGCTCTTTTGATCTTGAGAAATATGTCTTGACACCCAAGACACCATGCATATTATCCAAGTTGGATTCCCCCATTAAGCTCATGAGATCGGCTATACCATTTGTAACAATCCATACATATCCTTTACTTATCATACCAATCTCCTTCGCTATCGAAAAAACCCTTGATCCGAGATCAGGTAACATGTGCACGATAAACACCCTAGTGGGCATGGTCATTAATTTGTAAAGCTCTTTCTTGATTTGGTCATCAGATGAATGTACTGATATGGCACTTCGGTATCTGATACGAACGTTGATCTCTTGAAAAGCATCCAATATGTAAGGAAGAATACCTTCTCCGAACTCATTGTCTGCATAAATAGGCACAACTTCTCTCCATCTAAATGACTCTACGATGGCGCTAATGGCTTGGACTTGAGACGAATCGTCGTGTGTGGCTCTAATGAAATATGGACTACGAAGAGAATCAAGAAGAGGGCTTGTTGCAGAGAATGAAATGATTGGAACTTGAGATTGATTTCCGAGGTTGATTAAAAATGGAGCTTGCATTGAATTCCCTGGTCCGATAATGGCCACCACTTCCCTCTTCTTTATCAAGTATAAAGCTACAAAGTTAAAAATTAACATCTCCCATATGTTATTTAAGTGTTTCGCAAAATGTGCTTATATTAAAAATAAAAATAAAAAACATTAACTTTTTAAAAATACACAATTATATTTATTATATAGTCTACAATCTAAATTTTATTTATTTAATATAAAATTATAATATAATTCTTTTAATCTGTTGATCAAAAAGAAAAATAAAACCCTATTAATGTAAATCAATAAACTCGCAAAAATTTATGTGGATTTGAGATTTGATCAGATCATTCGGGGTCCAAATCAAATTGCCTTCAATACATGATATACGAATATATCCATGATCTTCAAACTCTATTTTACGTATATATAATATTTTAATTTAACATTTACTTTCTTGAATTACATATAAAAAACCTAAAAATTTGCCATCTATTATTTCTTTGGACGATTAATACATGTATTTTTTCAGTTGGATTAAAAACTTTGTTAATTTAATTGTGTTATATAAAGTCTTCGTTTATTTAACTTTTGATAAATTCCTACCCACGATTTTAAACCAAAAATAAAATTCCAATTTTACGCTTACCATTTGAATTAATTATTAATGTTTAAATAATATGGTATTAATTTTTAATTTCATTTGATAAAAATAAAATTTTAACTCAAAATTAATTTTATTGATATTATGTTTACTGTTATTAATTTATTTATAAATATAAAATACCAAATAAAAAGAAAATCTAATCAATTTATAAAATTTTAAAGAAAATGTAAATAGAAAAATAAATTATTGAAAACTTTCAAATCAATTTTTCTTACAAATTAATAAATATATATCCATTACAAATCTTTTTAGGTTATTTCAAATTAGTTTTGCTTACAAGTTTTATATCCTCCAATAATACTAAAGTAATCTTTGTATTTAAGATATTATTTTTATTTTTATTTATTTATAACTAAATAATAGTAGTAAAACAAAAGGGAAATTGTCAAAAATAACACAAAAATGAATATTTTTCCAAAAATACCATTATAAATTTTATTCCAAAATATCAATATAAGTTTTATTTTTCAAAAAATACCACTAAAATACATTTTCTTCCAAAAATATCGCAAAAATTAATCTATAACGTTTAACATTCAAAACTAATTTCTAAATCCTAAACACTAATCCTTAAATATAAATAGTTAAAAGTAAAAATTACTACCATACTATTTAAACATTAAAAATTAACTCATTTGGTAGGGGTAAAATTGGAATTTTATTTTTTGGCTTATAGATGGTAGCAACCACGTCGAAGAGCTTCTAGAAAACAACAATTCGGATAGCGATGGTGTTTGGCCTAGATCTAAGAATGAAACAAGAATGAAAAAAAATGACAAATGGATTTCATGGTTCGACGATGAAATCGTACACAGCAAAACCAAAGTTTTTCTTTTTTTTTTTTTTAAATTTCTGGGTTTGTGTTAGTTGCTTTTGCAAAAATAATCGAGAGAAGAGATGGCAAGATAATGATTTTGAGGAAAAAAGAAAAAGAGGGTAAATATGTCTTTTCTATTAAAGAATGTGGTATAGAAGAAAACAATTATTAAAAATGGTAGTTTGTATATGAAAAGTTAGAACGTGGTAGATTTGACAAAAAGCCTAAAAATTCGCCATCTATTATTTTTTTGAACGATTAATACATGTACTTTTTTAGTTGGACTGAAAAACTTTGTTAATTTAATTTTGTTATAAAAAGTCTTCGTTTTATTTAACTTTTGGTAAATTCCTACCCGCGATCTCACGAAAGAAGTAATTATTAGATTCTCTAAACGCATATATGTCCACGGTAAATATTGTCCACGAGATCTAAATGTTTGCATTTAAACATTTCCATTATAGCTACGTTATAATTATTGTCCACGATAGAATAATTATTGTCTACGGCATATATATTATGGTATTTACTCTATGCCATGTAATAATTGTTGTCCACATCATTTATATATTGTTTTAGTCTATATTATAGATTTTTTATTGTCTACGACAATTATTGTGTCTATAATACGATAATTGTTGTCCACGATATAAATAAACAATGGACAATATCTAAAATAGTTCTTCTTCCGAAGGGTAAAATCGTCTGATTGAACACACCACTGCCACACAAAAGTGGTACTCGTGGAAACAATTTGAAAATGTGAAAGATAAGGTAAAGGACCCACAACTTTGTGGTAGATAGTTTAAAGTTCTCTACATCTATCTTAACATTTTTGAAGTACATTTTTTACTAAAATCAATTTTGGATTATAACCTTTTAGTTTGCGATATTTGCCTAAACAAACCCTTGCCATTTGAACAAATAACAAAACTTAAAAGTAAATTTTGTAATTAAATCACAAACAAATCGCAAAATTGGAAACCAATATTTATTACATCAAAAAATTTCCTAAAATCTCTCTTTAATAAATCAAATCTCTCTCCAATATAAATATATAATCTTATTTGTTTTTGACTTATATTATTACATAAAATATATTAATAATAAAAATACAAATTTTATTCCACACAATTTGCAATTAAAATTTTTGAAAACGAACGTATAGAAGTCAATCGATAAAGGAAAAAATATATGTACAACGTCTACATAAGGTAGAAAAATTTAGATAATAGTTCAAAATCATTACAAATATGACTAATATGCTCCCAACTACAAACTCCAAATTAAAAAATTTATCCAGTTTCATTCGGTTCTTTATTTAAGAAAAATAAATATTTTAAAATAAAACTTTTAAAAAGTTACAAAATATTATAAATTTAAAATTTTAAAAAAAATTTAAAATTTTAAAATCTTCAAATATTATAATATTTAATTAAGCTTTATCGAATAATTAAAATATTAAAAATATAAATCTACATAAAGTTAAAGTATTATTAATATTTGGAGTTTGTCTATATTTTTCAGACGGGTTTGTCTATATTTACAATCTTTACGGGTAATGTTAAAATATATTTTTTTATAACAAATTTGTCTTGCAGGTTGACCACATATATCTATGAATCTACTTATAATACAAATTCATAAAATTTTATAAAATTGTAATGAAATGAACACGTATAAACTAGACTATTTAAACCAATTACGAAAATAACAAATTAAATAAATATATTAAATTATAGACCCGTGGTGTACCACGGGGTAAATCCTAGTATTTTTATATATCTAAAGATCTTCACTTTCGAATTAATAGGACTTATTTGCTAATTTAGACAACACGGACACTTCCTCTTTTTTTTTTTTGACATCAGTGACTTCCTAAGCCAAGGAACTTTAGATATATTAAAAGACAACATAGTTGACAATTATAGAAAGAACTAGTCCTAGTTAAACCTAACTTGCAGCGACCGGCCCGCTAGTTTTTCTAAAAATAATATTAGTAATAAAAAATATAAATATAATATACAAATATATAGAAAGAATGTTATGAGCAATGAATTGTACAAACATGTTTTATTTTTATGTTCATATGATAGTATATACTTTTTCTGTTTCACAAAGAATGTCATTCTAGAGAGAAAAAATTGTTTCACAAAGAATGTCATTTTTGAACCAATGTATTTTTAAACTTAATTCTCTAATTTACCCTAAACCCAAAGCTCATTTTATTGACTTTAATTTATAAACTACTTATTAAATAGGGGTAAATATGTACAATTCAAAATTTTCTTAATTTATGTCTAAAATATCAAAATGACATTCTTTGTGAAACAAAGGTAGTATATTAGTATTTTTGCAATGTTTTTGTGCAAAATTTAATACTCTCATTTATTGCAAAAGCATTTTTTCTTAAAAAAATAATATGTTGGAGGAAGGATTTGAACCAAGAACATGTTGATACAAAAGTAGCTCTTTTACCACTAAACTATGTTAATCAATCATTATTGATGGGCTCTTAACAAATTTTAGCGGTAAGATTTGTTAAGAGCCCATCAATAATGATGATCTTAATATATTAGTATTATCATGTAAACATATAGTATACTATATATGAAAACGGGTGACTGTAATTTTACCCGACTTAATACATGTTTACGTCTCTTAACTCGTGTGTTTGATTAGACCAACTTTTCAAAGACAAGATTTTACATGACAATAATTTATTACATCGAGTATTTTTATTTCAACTAAAAAAATGGGTATTAAACTTCCAAATAAAAGTAGCATGGGGTTTTTTTTTTTAAGTTTCACAAAGAAAGATAAGTACCTGAAGCTGCAGCACCAACAACAGTTTGTTTGGAATCTCGGATGTTGAGGACAATCCTTGTCTTGAAACCATTATGAGTATTATAGAATTCTGCGAGAGACATGTTGATAGCTCGTAAGCTCAAATCTGGTAATGTCCCATTAGTGTCAAGAACAATTCCCACTTTAACTTGTAAGACTTCTTTTTGAGATTTCCCGAGTAATACTAAGAAGATGAGAAAAAATAAAAGCCACAAAGGAAGAGAACGAGATACAACAAGATGATGGAATGAAGACATAACTAATATTTTCATATAATCACAACACAGAGAAGAGACGAAAGATAAATAGATAGTTTTGAAGAGACCAGTTCCGCTTAATAATTAACTAAACTGTTGGAATGTGCAAGTAGACTATTAATAATTTAAAACATTCCGTATAGATTATTATAAATACAAAGATGTTAATAATAATCCTCTAGTTGACGGAAAAATATACTTGTTTTGGACATTTTGGATGATTTAGGTGTTACCCAAATGAGGCAAAGACGTGGTCTTCCAAAAACATAAAATATTTTCAATGATTAAGTGATACAAATATAAAATAGATAGATAATCATTTGTTAGATAATGAAGCGTATAGAGGACATAAAAAAGGAGACCGTCGCAAGCTGCAATATTTTTAAGATTGTGTTTACTTGGTTTGTTAATTAAGTTAATGTAATAAAACATATTAAGATTCAACAGTGAAAGGAAAAAAAAATCATTAAGTGACTAAGAGTTTGACAACCAAGTGCTAATAACTCAATTGGTAAAAATCTCTGGCAAAAGTTCAAAGGTCGCCGGTTCAAGTAGCATTTTGGACGAAACCATATAACATACTCTGGTTTCGGGTTTGAGGGGATGTATGGGATTCGACCTAGAACATCTTTGATTATTAAAAAAAAAAATAATAATAATAACAGTTTGACAAAAGAGAAAAAAAAAAAACAAAAAAAAGAGTAACTATGACTAAATTATCTCATATTGGAAAGGGTTAATAAGAGCATTCTCAATGGAGGGGATTTTAAGCAAATCTTAAGTTTAAGATTTGTGAAGAAAAATCCTTATATAAAATTTTTTCTTCACAAATCTTAACTTAAGATTTGCTTAAAATCCCCTCCATTGAGGATGATCTAAGGGTATATTGTTTTTGTATACTCTTCTCACAAGCTTTCTAGTAAAAATTATTACCCACTGATTTTTAGTTTTTTTTAATCAAAATAATAATGTTCAAGTGCGACTGTGCGATCGAGGCCGAGTGGAAAAAAATTGTAAAGGAAGTTACTGAAACATGACGACTTATCATGCCTCCAACATGAAAACTCAATACGTATCTTTAAAAATAGTAATATTAATTTTGGGAAAGAATAATAACATAATACTGTTTAGTGTTTAGATTAGACAATGACTGGATTCGTCTGTATTTGGAACTTGCAGTTGCCACATCTTTCAGGAACCATATCACACATAGTATGACCAATTTGAAGATTTTGAAAGTGGCTATGGAGATTACACGAAACCTGGAGCCCTAGGACTTGACGCCTATGATGCAACATTCTACATTAACTACAAGGACATTTGCAAGGCTGGGTTGGTAAGGATGTCCATCGCGTTGCTCTAGTCAGAAGAATCTTGGATTTGAACTCGGTAACCTGGTTTTGATACCATATTAAGATCTCTGATTCACCGGAACATAGATCGGAGAAGAAGAAGAAGATCAGAGAGTGAAGCCATTGTAACAAACTTTATTAACTGAAAAGAGTATTACCAGGCTAAATGAGTAAAGTAACATGTATACAGTATTTATACATCACATTAATAATCAATCACAATAACCGGATGAAACCATCATCAATGTAGATAACCGGATTAAACCATTCAGAGCTTACAAACCATTAAACGCTGGCTCGTCGATGGTTGACTAATAAGTTATTTGGTGTTGTTGGATTGTTAAGTGGATTGCCGTATTTGTATAATTTGTATGGTCTTGTTCTGCTTGAAGACATTAACATTAGTCTTCTAAGCTACTTGGTGCGTTTCTATTGTTAAGTGGATTCTTCATTCATTTGGCCTTTGATGCAAAACCCGTGAATCAAAATTATGGTTCTTCAATCTCATCTAGTTGACGTGAAAATTAGAGAGATTTGTCTGCGATCTCCGCCGCTAATAACTGAGAAGGAGGTTGAAGAAGAGTAACATAAGTAAAGGGGGTACAAGAGAGTAATATTAGTGTAACAGTAACAAGAAATCTATTTTACTAACTAGGAATAGTAAACTGCCTAAAAACAATATTTTCCAAAAAAAAAATGTTTATTTTGCAAATTTACCCATAATAGTTTCGATATGTTTACTGTTTCTCTTCCAATCTCTGCCGAAAACCAAATGTTTCGATTTGATCGGTTCGGTTTAAGGTTTGTACCAAACGACCATAACTAAAAATAACCATCCAAAAAACAACTGTTTACAAACTTATCTTTAATTTGTAAATCTATGCAAGTTGTGTATTTTTGAATAGTTTTTACATTTACTGATTTACGTATATTATATTTTAAATATTCTAAAAGTAGATTTAAAATGACCGTCACAAGTGTTTATATTTGATATATTATGTATCATAATGGTGACAAATTTTATATTTCAACCATGTATGTTCGATTTGTATCTTTTGAAACATAAGGGTACAAACTTGAAAGAAAAAAATGGTTTATGATGCTTAATCAAATCTAAATTTATGTATGAAATATATATATATATATATATATATATATATATATATATATATATATATATTATAAATAAAT